GAAAAAGGTGCCCCTCCATGCTGGTAGGGCGCGTGAGGTGGGGAGAAGATGTCAGGGGCGGTCCCTGCAGTTCTAGTGCCCCGTCGGTTATTGAAGTAAAGAAAAATTTGTAATTTGGCCAGGGACATTCCTGGACAAGTTTTATAAGTACCGCTGACGTGACAATTGGCATTTCTGATTGGTTGTCGCAAATGCGTCTGTGAACTGCGTTCTACGTTTACGACTTATATAGACGGCCCTATTCCGCAATCGTTTTTCGCACCATGTGATTTCACCCTAAGTGCTACACTCAGCTACACTATACTAGAATGGTGCACTTCATGGTGTATATTCATTACATTATTATTGCGCTAAAACCCTGTTCCCGCTTAACTTCCATTTTCAAATTTTAAATGTCACACCGGCTCTACACTGTCTTTTGTGACGGTGTAGCAAAATCCCTGCACTTCGTGCATAAAATTTGCACTAGACCGTAGCCACGCAAATACGGTACACTGTCTGAATGTTGCACTAGTAAGCGATAGTGCAGTCAAAAGAAACAGCTATAAAATTACGTATTTACGTAAAGACGAAATAACCTGAATTTTTGGAAGTTTTAAAAAAGTAACCGAGGGAAAGAATCAAAGTCCTTGGGTGCATGTATATATTGTACATATTGGGTTATCTAAAAAATATCCGCGGTTTTTTGTCAGTAGATGTGTGTTGATGATCATATATCTAGTGACAAAGTACCGCGGATACTTTTTAGATGACCCAATATATATGTACATGCACACACGCAAGTATCGGAATCAGCGGAAGTCACAACCAATCACGATCGTGCATTCCGCAGTTCCGCATCCCATGGAAGCGTACCCTGACTCTTGCATGTGAATGTACCTTAAAGATAGTCGGTATAAAAGCAGTCATTTCGCCGTTGCAGCCTCCATTTTTCTTCATTTTCTTCATCAACGACGTCATGGTAAGTGGTGTTTGCAATATATCCGTGTATCCAACGAAATTAGCATTTTTTCTTTGGCATCGGCGTCAGAAATCTACGTAATCATACTTTTAAATATTTGTGTCGAATTTCTAGACAAATATTATAGTAAATATCGACGGTATCGTTTGTATCTTGCGATGAGAACAGATAGATAATTTTATAAGCACATGGTTCCTTGTGCGACGCCGATGCCTCGTAATAATAATTTATATCACTAATATGATGATTTAGATTAAAAGTTTATGGTTTTCGTCTGAATAATCTTGACGATAATATTCTAGGGCGGTCTGATTTTCTTTTTGTCGAAAAATCTTAGGTGTACGTTTGTTTTACGTGTCTCATGCGTCTTTTATTGTAGTCGCACAGGAAGTTCAGCGCCCCTCGACACGGGTCGATGGGGTTCTACCCGAAGAAAAGATCTCAGAGACATCGTGGAAAGGTAAAGGCTTTCCCAAAAGATGATCCTAGCAAACCTGTACACTTGACTGCTTTTATCGGTTACAAAGCTGGTATGACTCACGTAGTAAGGGAAGCTGATCGTCCTGGGTCAAGTGAGTATATTATAGGACAAAAATTTGTAAAAATATTTTGTATAATTGCTAAACTTTTTCAAGAATAATACTTTGATTTTATATATATATAT